CGACATAGTACCTCAAGTCTTAGGGTACTTAGGAGCTTAGGGTTGCTTCTAGGACGTCTAGGCCAGACCCAAGAGTAACCCAGGAATAAAACGTGCGTGTTTGTCTCTGTGTTGGTCTGTGTCTGTGTCTGTGTCCGTGTCTTCTGTGTCTGTGTCCGCGTCTGTGTGCGCGCGCACCACTTTGGGTTGGAGCATCCAAGGTGTGGCCCCAATTCTACACATCCTGGCCGGCCCTCGGGTTTGGGGTTTCGGGTTTAAGGGATGGGGCCCTTAGTTGAAAAAAAAATACACCCCGCATACACCCTGGAGAGGGGTTCAAAGTATATTGCCCTATGGGTTTAGGGTTTAGGGCTTAGGGTTTAGGGTTTAGGGTTTAGGGCTGCTTTTTGTGTTTAGGTCCAGGTACAGCATATCACGGGTTCTGAAGTATGGGCCCTTCTGGTTTGGGTGGAAGAGGGCCCAAAAAATGACATGGGGTTACTTGGATGGACCCTTTGGCTACGTAGCCTACTGAGAAACGGGAACTGCTAGGTTGCTCTCGGGCTTGGTATAACGGAGATGGGGAGAGGAAGCGAACGTAAGGAACACTCAAACACCACCACGCGCCCGAAGAAAAGTCACTCAAACCCAGCCCACTAAAACCCCAAAATCTTGAACCTCAGCCCCCAAAAGCCTCAATCTTAATTCCTCAACCCTAAACCCTAAACCCTAAACCCTAAACCCTAAACCCTAAACCCTAAACCGTACACCCTCAACTCTCAGTCCTTAAAGGCCCTTAACTCTCAGCCCCCTCAATGTCCTGGATCTTCCCCAACCTCTAACACCACCCGAAACCCCAAACCCTAAAGCCTAAAGCCTAAACCCTAAAGCCTAAACCCTAAACCCTAAAGCGTAAACCCTAAACCCTAAACCCTAAACCCTTAAACCCTAAACCCTAAACCCTGAACCCTCTCAACCCTCAACCTTACAGTTTACAGCGCCCAAGGTCTGAGGCTACTCAGTATGGGCCATTAGTTTGGGCAGCTAATTTGGGAGCCCTTTTGAAGGAAGATAAGGGACTATATGGAAGGACCCTATCCCTAAATCCATAATCTATATAACCCCAAACCCTAAACCCGAAACCCCAAACCCTAAGCCTAACCCTAAACCTCAAACCCCAAACCCTAACCCCATAAACGACAAGGCACCAAAACTTGGCGCTATGCGGCGTCAGGTTTGCTTCTGGCGCAGCGGACTCCATGGCTCAAGGTCTCCCAGAGCTGGAAATTTTCTCTCGAACGAAAACAAACCCGGTAAGCTAAGGATCCATGTACGTATATAGTATACACTTGGGCCCTAAAGCTACTATATAGGAACCTCAAGTATATACGATATAGGTGAATGGATCCTTAGGGAAAAACAGGAGCCCATTTGAGTTGGGTTTAAAGGATTAGGGTGTATAAGGTCTTTTCGTGTATCACTGTCAGGGCCCCAGAATGCCCTCAACCCTCAACCCTAAACCCTGAACCCCTAAGACCTAAACCCTAAACCTGAACACAACCCTAAACCCTAAACCTTAAAACCTAAACCCTAAACCCTAAACCCTAAACTCTAAACCCTAAGCCCTAAGCCCTAAGCCCTAAGCCCTTAACCCAAACCCTGAACATGCATCCCGAAGCCCCAATGGCGAGCTGCGCGGCAGTTGAGTGACGGTGGGCGTTCGAGGGGCTTCAGGATTTTGGATGAGAAGTACCAGATTACTAGACCTATAGATGTGTATATAACATAGAGAGGGAGAGGGAGAGGGAGAGGGAGAGGGGGAGAGGGGGAGAGGGAGAGGGAGAGGGAGAGGGAGAGGGAGCGGGGGAGGGAGAGGGAGAGGGAGAGGGAGCGGGGGAGGGGGGGGTTAGGATTCTGCATCTGTATATAAATATAAATATATATATATATATGGAGTGGAAGAGAGAGAAGAGGGTTTTGGGAGATTTCGGGAACGCCTGGTTACCGAAGAATTCAGGTATCAGGACGTCGCCTCCATGATAAGCGAAGCAAGCACGACCCAAGGGCGCTTCTACATGGCAAGAACATAGGGTTTGGGGTTTAGGGCGGTTCAGGGTTTAGGAGTTGTAGGGTTTAGGGTTCTGGGCTTCGGGTTTAGCATTTAGGGTTTGTAGGGGACATGAGCATGACCCTGGGTGAAGAGTATGCGTACATAAGGGTTAAGGCTTTCCGAGGTTCCGGGTTTCAGCACGGAAAAATGACATACTGGAACCTACGCCCCCCACACTGCATTGACCTGGGCTTCTAGCACGCGCGCGTCAATGCTGGTTCGTGCCAGAACATTTCCCAGGGGTTGTTCGGGAGACCTATAAGCAGTCCCTTCCCCCAGGAGCCACGAATGTTCCCCATCCACCACTCCCCAGCCCTGCAATCCAGGGTGATGTCTCTGTAAGCTCGAGGCTTCTGACCATGCAGTCCAAACGATGCTCCTGCACAGGTCCCAAACAGGAGATGCTCCTAGTTGTGTTGTTAGGTAAGAAGGCTGTCGGTTTAGGAGTTAGGGTTTCGGGCGTCTAAGCGGCTATCTAGGTTTGGGATCGTGTTTAGGACTCGCAACATCACCAATACCCCGCATGCCCAGCAACAGCATCTGCGTAACAAACTTTGAACCCGAAACCCAAACCAACCCCAAGAGATTCCTGAACCCTAAACCCCTGAAGCTCCTTCCCTAAGGGTCCATGTAGGGATACGTAGGCCTTAACGTACTTCCTGTTTTGGCACTTTGGAGCCCAAGTATAGAATACTGAAGTAGACCTTTAGCCGCTATAAAAATTGGACAAGCATGAAAATGTAAAAAAACCAAAAAAAAAAAAGCAACCAAAAAAAAAAAAAACACCACCTGCTGGCCCCTCACTCCTGCCGGTACGCTAAAGTAAAGCCTCCGGCGAGTTTTAAGGGCTTTTGATTGAGAAAATGTCTCGCAGCTAAGGGTGTAAAGTATGAGGCTTTGGGATGCAGGCTAATTATGCACCCAAATCCTAAACCCTAGACCCTGAACACTGTCAGCTCTGAGAGTCCGAGAAACCCTCAACCCCCTGACCCCTGCTGATATTGGTATGTTTATTCTACTCAGTCTGCACCCCCAGGGTCTTAAAAAAAAATTCCAGCCCCCCCCGCGCTTTCCCCCCCCCCCCCTGACACCCCCCGTACCCCCCCCCCATCCCCCCACCGCCTACATCTCCAAAAACAAAACGGCCAGGAAGAAATAAATCGAACGATCACGTTGCAGCCCCTACATAATTCTGCCTAGCATCTACCTCCCAAACCCGATTCTGTCGATACTGTGACCCAAGACACTGTTCTAACTATTCCCGACAAACCCAAAACACTAGATACCCAGAGCCCTAAACCCCCAAACAATAAAAAAAACCCGACACCTACAACCCACAACCCTAAACCCTAAACCGTAAACCCTACACCCTAAACCCTAAACCCTAAACCCTAAACCCTAAACCCTAAACCCTAAACCCTAAACCCTAAACCCTAAACCCTAAACCTACCTAAAGCCCGCAACATAAAGCCCTGCAAAGACCAGCCTGGGAAGGATCCAGGAGGGGCACAAGCTCGCGGATTTCGTCACAGGAGTGAAGTTGAAACTTCTCGTAGGGTTTAGGGTTTAGTGTTTAGGGTTTAGGGGGTTCAGGGGTTTAGGGAAAGGGATTGCTTGCACGTTCAAGTTGGGGTTTGGAGAAGGCAAGCTGAGGTTAGACTTGGGCGCTATGTATTAGGCTGTGCCGTAGTCGGGAGTTTATGAGTTTTTGGACTTGTATAGAGACCTTCATGCAGTGGCCCAGATCTAGGCTGGTTTGAGAAAAGCTTCTGCGGCTGCTTTTGTGCACACCTTGAGCACCCCAAAAGAATCCCGAAACCCAGTGCTAAGGGAACGTAGTATAGGGGCCTTGATAATGAGAATGGGGTTTTGGGGGGGTCATTGTAGTATGACTATAAAGGGACCATAAGGGAATACTATTAATAATTATTCGGACCCCTATGCTACAGAATAAATGCCCAAGTGCCCTGAAGATTTCTGCAGGGGAGGTGGCACCCTATATGTAATTAGGGTACAGTGTTGCGGATTGAAGTTTAGGGTTTAGGGTTTAGGCTTGTAAGGGCTTGCTTGGGCGTAGGGATTAAGCAGTACTTAGGGGGCTGAGTACCCTAGCGCAAGAAAAGGTTGACCTTTCATTTGTAATAAACAGGATTACACATATATATATATATATACATACATATATATATATATGTAGATAAGCAAAAAAGGTCAGAGGTGAACTACCCAGCCCCTAAGAGTAAGAGAGTCTGAAAGTCCTGAAATACTGACGCTTACGGTATGAGACTTGGGCTTACTAGGGCATAGCAGGGCTTGCCCCTAAACCCTATAACCCTAGAGGGTTTAGGGTTTAGGGTTTAGGGTTTAGGGATTAGGGTCTAGAGAACCCTAAAACCCTAAAACCTAAATAGGATTTGAAGTGTACGGGCAGTGGGGTTAAGCCCTAAACCTTCTTGGGCTTAGAAAACCCTTTAGCAGCTTCGGTACTCTGGGTTCTGGTCAGTTGCCCTAAACCCTAAACCCTAAACCCTAAACCCTAAACCCCAAACCCTAAACCCTACTCTCATCTTCAACAAGGCCAAAGTGCGGCCCTGCCACCGTTTCTACCTTGGGGATGAGATGACACCCTAAACTTAGGGTCATATACCCTATGGCACTATAATCCCCATTCAGGCATATGAACCATAAACCCTTTTAGGGTTCATGATCCCATTTCAGGTATAGATGAACCATAAACCCTTGTAGGTCTCATTTGGTCCCGAAGGTAACTGCAAGAGAACAAAACTGTGGCCCTGCCCCAGTTGAAAACAAGTGTGGCCTGCATTAGAAGACCGCGCCAAAGACCACACCATAGAGGAGGGGTGCAATCTGCAACC